GCTCTCTGTATTTATTTTCTGTTTTGTATTCCTGAAAGTGATACAAACAACCACATACAAGAGAGGAGAGGGCTGTTTAAATCCATTCCCTACTTGGGCGACAGAGATTTGAAGGCAGCTCTGCCACTTGCCAAGAAAGCCCAAGAGATAGAGGGCTACACTACAAACCTTTACCCTCCAGCCAACCGTCGCTGATGTCAGGAGATTGCTCTGGTGTCACCGAGGGTATTGCCTGTGGACAGCTGGATTCAGAGACCACATCCATCCACTTGAATTTCTGCTAGTGGCACTGACGCACTAGAGAATTTGCCTTGGCTTCCACCTCCAGGAAAGAGTATCTTTTCCTCATACGCAGGATGACAAGAGGGAGAGAGATGGAAAATCTCTTTTTTTTCATTTTTTTAAATATATATAAAAAATATATATAAAGCATCTAAGTATAATTTTCAGAGTACAGCTATTTGGGGAATAACTTTTCTTTTAAAAGAAATGTAACAAAAATCCCACTCACGCTTGATATAGAGAGAATAAGAGGAAATAAATGTGAAATTTTACCTAAGTGGGGATTATAAAATCAAGTCCAAAGAAAGTAGCATTCCCTCTACAGTATAAAGTGGCATTGTCATGCCTGTAGGCATTACCGCAAGCAGAGAAGATTCACTGTACCAGAAATGGAGAGGCAAAATCACAGATCTACGCGTGGTGTTTATGGGATGGTACAAAATTTATCCCTAGCTTATGCAACTGAAACTCAGTTGAAAGCAAGGTGGAATTGCCGGGTATTTGGATGTGAGACTATTGGAGGGGAGAGGGATGGCTGCGTTGTCCCAGAGAGCTGTTAGGAGCAGGATCCTGGAAATTCAGCGAGAACAGCATTTACCTACACAGTTGTTGTTCATTTCAGTTAATTCCCTAATTGCCTGGCACTCTCCACCTTTGGTTTTAAGTGCTGATGTGTTCCTCCTCCCCGACTTCCCCCAGAGGCACAAATTTGGAAGCTGTCTCCCAAGAAGCCATCATACACAGAGACTTTGTCAGGAATTGCTGACGGTTCCTAACATAAAAGCCCATTAAATCCCCTTACTAATTACGTACCACCACAACTTTAATCTAAGAGCAGCTCAAATTTTGAACAGTTGGGAATCGAGACAAACAGGCAGCAAAATAAGTTGCGCATCTGGTTTTAGCGTTACACACCAGTAAAGTTAAAGCTTCAATATTGTCTGGAGGTAACTTTAATAATGAACAGAAACCTTTTCCTCTTTAAGTCCTACAGAAAACACATTAAACACTGAAATGTAAACCAACAAACTTTTAATTTCTAGCTCCAAAGCCCTGTCCAGCCTGAAAGTCAAATCTAAGACTTACCTCACCTCACCTAGAGCAGTACATAACCGCAGCTGCTTTATTAGACAGGTTCTCTCAGCTTTTCCCCCAGGATGTCCAGTCAATGCTTTGTAGATGCCTTGTTCCTAGCCCAACTGAAATATTTCTATTTTTAAGAAATATGTTTGTGTGTGTATATATAAACACACATACAGAGAGAGAGAAAGAGAACTCGCATGTATCTCATGTCAAATAAAGTGAGAGAGTTTCTGCAGGGATAAAAGAATGGTCCTCATCCCTCCTCCCAAATGTAAAAATTTGAAAATCCTGTGCTAAGAGAAATAAAGGGAAAGCCTAAACCTCTGTGCACTCAACAGAACCTCCTGCAAAAGATTTATGCAGCAGAGTATCCCTGTTTCTCCCCCGTATGCTCTCCCAAGCGCAGGTTAACAAACAGCAGCAAAGAATACTTCAGCTGTGTATTCACTGGCTTTTCAGTCAGCACCCAAATATTCTCAAAACAGTTTTTACCCCCAAATCAAGAAAGGCTGAGACTCTCCTTTTGCCTTTACCTATACTTTTGTCTCATACACACTGTGAACACTTCTCAAAATACAACCACGTCCTAGACAAAAGTTACAGCAGAATTACTAAAGCATTGAGAGCAGAGATTGCAGATGATTGGTATTTCAGGATTAGGTATTTCCTAATAGGTATCTCCTTAGGGTGGTAGTACACTTTGTCCCATGTATGGCAAGCCACAGGATTAGGCAGAAAATTTCTCCCTAGAAAACTGCGTACAGTGTAGATCACTGAACACTTTAGAAAGTCAGCGCATACACTACTTACACGTTAATTACTTGACAAACCCACGTGGCGATAGCTGGGAACCTGTTAGGGTTCAGGCATAAAATCCATTTCCTAACAATGATTTCAGGCATAAAATCCCACGCTAACAAAAGAGTGAAGAAAACTACAACGTTTTGCTCGCCCATCTCAGAGAAGCAGTGAAGAGTCTCTAGAAAAGTCGCTAAGCAGAAGTGTAGAGGGCTGAGAACGGTGCAACCGCATTAGGTTATTTACCTGTTTCGGTGTCTCCTTGTGGTGCACGACAATAACAGCAGTCCATGAAGATAACATAGTTGAACACATTGAAGAACAGACCTGCAATCCCGACAATGAGGACGAGCAGTGCTTTCTCAGTCTTCTGAGGATTGATGAACCTCTTGATTGCCTCAACGAAGATGCTAAACATCAGAGCGGTGGCAAAAACAGTGTTGCCGAAAGCTCCCAGCACATCTGCCCGGCTGAAGCCGAAAGTGTTAGCCTTGTGCCATCTGATGCGACTGAACCTAACACCGAACAAACCGATGATCATGGAGATCAAGTGCGAGAGAACAGCAAAGGCATCTGAAGCTAAGGAAAGAGAATTGCCGACGTAGGCTACCGAGATCTCAACGGCAAAAAGCACAAGGCTCACCACGCACATGAGGACGAGCCTGCTGCTCCTGCCCGAGTAGCGGCCCCTTCCTGCTGCTCTCTTCCCCTTACTCTGAGGTTCTGCAAGACGGAGCGGCGTGAGGAGCAGCTCGCTCTCTGTGATTCCGCCCTTCACCTGTCAGTGCTGTTCACATGTGGGAACCACTTTTATAGGAAGCAGTAAAGCAATAAATCAGTTTAAAGGGCAGTTTAGCAAGATTTGTCATGTGAAGGAAGCCTGAAGGCTCCACTCCTGCACAGGTTCCACCCTCAAGAGGCTTTTTTTTTTTTTCTCCAAAACCAAAAATAAACCAAGGGAGACTACTAGGAGCACCAGCACTTGCTACTCGACCCAACAGTGCTGTCCCAAAAAACTGAATAAGGCCCAGACAGAAGAGCATAAGAAGGTGGCTTAGAATTTTCGGCAGTTAGAGAAAGCGTTTCTTTTGCATAAAGCTCCCCTCTGACATCTGTTTCAGCCATTTCTGTTGCCAGTTACTTTAGTACTGAGAAAATACTCCTCCATGCCCATGCAAAAAGATGTGAAATCCATGTTGGGTGGACGTTATTTTTAAGAACATGGTAAACGTGAACTGCCTGCGAGCGTCATTGAACATGTTGTCTGTGGAGCAAGTTTCAAAGACAACTGAGTTGATCTTCCATTCTAGCAACCTAGAGTTCTCAACTGCTTGTACTTCTGGCATGTTTGAACATTGCCCATGGAAATGGAGCGAAGTCGGAGGCTATTTTCTCAATGTGCAGCCAGTAGACACAGAAGCTGAGCCTTAACAATAAACCCCAAACACACTGTTTATTTCCCATTCAAAAAACCCTGCCTATTTCCAAATCTCAAAGTAAACTTCATACGCTTGCAAGGAAGAGTCAGATTTGGGGAAAGCACAACCAGGAGTTAAAGGGGAAATAAGAGCTGCTGAAGTCCTAGCTCGTACTTGGTGTCAGTTCTGGAACAGAGTAAGAAGCTGAAGCAGTAACTTTTTTTGGTCCCTCACTGTAGTACCTGGTGAGCTCTTGGGTCTACGCGTAGTTCACGCACACTCACAAAGCACGGTGAAGGCAACCTGCCTGCTGATAGCACACCAGGCAACATGGATGATAAGACCAGGTGCCTTCCTTGAAAAGCTTATGATCCAGTTTTTGTTTGAAATGCCCATCTGTGTACATATATGCACACAGTCAGTTACAAGATAAAACGGAAGGAAATTACATGCAGTACAGCCATCGAGAGATAAGATAATAATACTGATAACCTGAGCTGACCAACTGTCCCTGCTGGCCTTAGACTTCCCAAGGTGAATTAACTTTAGGTTGAAAACTCCAACACCCACCCCCGATTTTTTTTTTTTTTTTTGCTCACTGGCTTTCAACAGCCAAAATATTTATGTTTAAAGTCCAGTTTGTTAGAAGCCTTGCCTGCCAACAGATGTAATTTTTAACATTTGGTCATTTGCCTACCTACACGCTGCAGCTGCAACTCTTAAGGGTTCCCCTCCCATCCCATTTAAGAACACCACTAACCCTGGTAGGGTGAATTAATAGCACTAAATACAGCATTGAAACTGGCACTTGTTCTTTTTCCTCTTCGTCATCTCCCACCTCTGTTACTACTTCTATTCCAGCTATTTCTGCGGTGCTTTCTTCCTTCTTGTGTTAAAGCAACATTCAACTACTTAATTAGTATCTGAACTACAAAGCATGAAAAGTGAGAATTTGTTTTCAAGAGTTATTCTCCTTTCAATGGGAACAGACCAAGGTCAAACCTCAGAGCTCTCAAAATTCCTGCCTTGCACAAGGTTTCGATCACCAAAACAAGAGCTGGAGCTGAATGAAGCACTCCCTTTGCAGCAGAGCTAAAACGCTCGAGTGTGCTCTATTTTGTCGATAAGGAGCAGCACCATGTTAAAGCAGTTCCACTACATCCCACCTTACTATGCGGTTTAGCCCAAATTTATCAGTATACAACTATAAGAACTAAGGAACACCAAGAGATTTGCAGTTCTATTATAAACACAAAGTACTGTCATTTTATCATCTGTAGTGTCTAATTCTGATTCATATACTTATTTTCTAACAGACACAATCTGCTAAGAGTCTGAAAGTTTTCATACCAGTATAATTAAGAGTATGGCTGTTTCTGTAATGCTTTACAGGTAGCTCAAGACTGTGCTTCTGGTGAAAAGGATGCTTGACATGGGTACGTCTCTCCCAGACAGGCATTAGTATCTCTGCGGAAGGTCACCAGAGACAGATCCGCAGCTGAGTCATCCACATTCCAGACACTTCAAGCCCTACTATGATCAGGAAGAAACATGCTGGGGAAAAGAAAGGGGAAGAAAAAAAAAAAATAAAAAAGGGCTGGCCTTCCGTGAAACCTCTGGCTTTAAACAAACCCATTTGTGGGTTGAGAGCAACTCATTTCTAAGAACAGCGTTGTCAACATGTTTACTCATGAATTTGATCCAGTCAACTGGTTGAAGGTTGGCTGTTTGTTCAAACCGATAAGGCTGCAGCAGTGTTAGAGACGGCATGTAGTTTTGCCTTGCCTTCGTTCTGCGCTGTTAACAGCTTCCACATCTCATTTTTTAAATACTGGTGTTGTAGAGTGTTTCGATGGGAGCTGAAAGTGCTCATCTATTCTTAATAATCTGTTTTGCTCTGTCAAAAAAATCTTGGCGCACTCCTGTCTCAGGACACTGAAGCTGCTGCTTACTGCCTCTCCCCTTCCCCAGCAGGAACGTGCCGCAGTAGGCAATACCTCTCACGACCAGTCTTAGTTACCCATCATTTGAGGCCGGGAAAACATCACTCTGGTATTACTTACGCTCTTTCTCAAAGTATAATTGCAGTCAGTGTTGGAGACAGCATACCAGGATAGAAAGACCTTAGGGCCACTCTTGTGGTATGTCAACTGAAAACAAAAGATGAATGCATGCACTGACATACCATTCCCCAAATCCTTTGCTCATTACTACCCCCGAGAGCTTGTCTACATACTGAGAAAATACCCAGACAGATGGATGCAAGATAGATGATTTTAAGATGCAACTGAGGCGAGATCTTCAGGACTAACTATCGTCCAAGGAGTATTAGAGAATCTCCAAGCGCTCAAGCACTCTGAGTAAACTGATTTGAAATATTTAATAATATTCACACTTTTCTGTGAAAAACAGGTATTATCACAGGCTGCATGATCCTAAACCGGACAGGCCACTGGTTCAAATTTAATATTCAGAATTTTGACTAGGAAGGCTGACCACAGGAATCTGGGGAAAAGCAAACATTTTGCATGTTTTTGAAAAGTAGAGAAGTGTGAAGATCTGGGAATAGCACTGTAAGCCTCCTGTAAGCTTATGACTTTTAGGCTACTGATGCTACTTAAAAATAGGGGTTTGGAAACAGGCAGCCATGTACTATTGTCCCAGGAAGAGTATGGGGAGGATCTTACTGGTCCAACTTTTCAGTTGCCAAGTTTTCACTCAACTCTCTTCAGGGAAAAGGGACGGCCTTCAAAGACACAAGAGAAAAAAGAGAAATAAGTAAAAAGTTAAGCATGTGTCATCCAAAAGTTATTTTGTGCCAGGGCTTTTTTTTTTTAAAGTCAATCCTACGCTCAAAGTGGAAGTAATTTTATTTTTAAAATAATTTACTAAGTCTGCAATATTCAGCTTTCTCCGCTAAAGCAACATATAGCAAGTGCAGGAAAAGCAAAAGGGTTTTATGAAACATGCTATAGATATAACCACAGCCTAAAATCTGTAGCCCTGAAAATACTTCTCTTCAGATTGCCTTTGCATTAGTCATTGCAGTATCGCTGTGAGACAGCTATAAATGCCAGTTTATAAGATAAGAGAAACAGGGCTTTGCAAAATATCTGCAAGAAACGGCATTCACCTGCATCTTGCTAACAACGTGGCATTTAATGTAAGATAGCCTTTCAAACTTGTTTTACGATGGTGTAAAAATATTCCTTGAAACACCTGGCTCCAGAGGGAGTTTTGAGAAAGGGTAGTGTTTACCATGCCTACAAGTTAGCCACACGTCTGTACTGAAAATTGAAAAATTTGAAGGCAAAATTAAAAGCAGATGTTATATCTATAAAGTTTATGTCAGCACACTCAACTGCACTATACAGTGTTTATGACGTTCTTCCCAGTCTTTTAGGCATTTTCTCAATGTACAGGAAAATATATGCACCAAAACAGGAAAAAAGACACGAGCAAAGGGCACCTCTCCTCCCCATTGAGCAACACAGAAAAAACAATCAAAGCATATTACAGCTCACAATACATGTTTATTATTAGAGATGTTTACAGAAAAGTCTGTGAATTACTGCTAGCCTAAGACTGACAACTGGGGGGTTTTATGGTTTATGGCTTTGTTTTTGGAATCATTTAAAAAGTCGCAAAACGGATTAAGTTTGGGGGCTATTTCAGTCTTATTAAAAAAAGTTCAATTCACAGATAAAGGAGAAGGTGCTTTCACTAGTAATTTAGTAACTACGACCAAATAGGGTGTAAAACTTGGCAGGGTTTTTGCCACAGACACATCTTGCCCCACACTGTAGTTCACGGAGGGGCTGAAAAGGTATGCAGAGGCTTTTTGCTCCCATGGACGGGGCGCCAGGCTCAAGATCTTGATCCCTGAAATAAAAGCATATTCATAAATAAATATTTTTATTTAAAAATAAGATGCAATAAAGTGCACTACACATAAAATCTCAAAAGCACATTAATTAGCCTGAAAGTTTCAGAACTAAGGGAGTATATATATTGAATTATCCAGGACAGTAAGAGCCAAGGTTGAGGACTGTACATCAGTGTTATACCCAGAGGCACCTTACATTCCTGTTTTATATTCAAAACATTTTGATTTTGATCTTGGAAGATATTGTCCAGTTCAGTTATATCTTACCTGGCAGTGGTCTTCTTGATCCAATCCTCGCACTCAATTTCCCCACAAAAAGGGATTTGTACAATCTGAAGGCGGGGAAGGGAAGGAGAGAGAAGAAAAACAACCAGTCATACATCTAAAAAAAAAAAAACCATCCTTGTCTCCGGAAGATTCCTAAACCTTAAGATTTCACATACACTCAAATTGGGAAAAGTTGTGATGGCTACAATTAAATTTTAATAGCTCTTTGTCATCAGAGAAATAGATAAGCATAGTCATCCCTCCATAGTGCGGCATGGAAAAACCTACACAAACCCAAAGCAGCATTTAAATCAAGTCAGGGTCCTGATTTGTATCTTTTTCTTAACCCAATATATCTTCTTTCTGTGGAAAGTATAAATACTGTTTTCTCCTGAAATACTGTTTTTCAGGACAAGTTTAAAACCTTCAAACTGCAGAACAAATGCTTGCTTACATACTGCAAGACAGTGCTTTCCTAATGAAGTTTCCAATTTAATTCCATTACTATGCATTTTCGTTTGTTCTGCACAAGACAAGGATCCATACTTTAAGAAAACAGAATTGCCAACTGCACATTTTTCTTGGCGGCGGGGGGAAGCGGTGCATATTTTTCTGGTGTTTCCTTCAGTTAGAAAACTGAGAAAGTAAAGTTGAAATTATAATCTCATACACTCTTCGCATTACTACTCTTAGCTGTTGTACCAAATCTCTTTTCCCATTTTATATTCCATTTAACTGATTTTTTTTTCATTTTTAATGGACTTTCACAGTGAAAATTCTGCTTATGATTAAAAAGTAGGATTACTGTTAAGAAGACACCCCCCTACACACATTTGAACACTCATGTAATGCTAATAGATGAGGGCAACAACAGCTACTAAATTCAGCCGTCACAGTCATTTCAATTCTATCAAACTGTGAATAAGGTTTGCTGATCTGTGGCTTGCTTTCACCAAATTTACATTCTTAGTGCAAAATTCTCAATTTGCCTTGAACTGGAACGCATCTTTATTAGATTTCACTTAAACCCTTCACTTTCTTGCAACTGAAAAAAAACCTATTACCACTCTACTATACTGTTCTTGCATTTATCTTTCATTAGTTAAATGAAACTTTGTTTAAATACCCGTGCAATTATTCTTAGACTTTCAACTAAAATTTGCATGCAACTTAAAAGAACACAGAAGCAGTCTGCATTTTTAAAGCGCAAATAGTCTACACTGCAATTATAGTAAGGGGAAAACAGCAACAGGAATTAAGCAGGAGTACTTCAGCTTACAAATGTTCTCCTTAAACAGCACTCAGTGCTAATGTAGTGTAATTTCAAGAAATTACAGCATACAGATGCTATAAAATTTTGTCCATATGACATATATAGGTAGAGAGTGAAACAATCATAAAATGACGTACGTCATTTTTTTCAATTCAGATATGCTGATGATAATAAACTTATATAACCTAAGTACCAAAGTATCCTACTTGGTATTTAAAAATATTTTTTCACATTTCCTAGTTTAACTACATTATAAACTAGATTATGTTATAGTCCTAAACATAATACAAATAGGTTAATTCTCTTGGCCCGCTCTAGAATCTAGCTGGACACAACAGTGAGCGTTGGACATTGAAGACCAGGTGTTTTACCCTCTCCGTAGGCCGAGGGTATCATTTGGAACCTCTGCAGTAGGAGGAGAAGAAAGGGTTCTATAGTATTTCATCAAAATTAAAGGATAATAATT